GAGAGTGTGTGGAGTATGTGTTTCAGGCAGGAAAAAAAAAGAGACTCGACGAGAGAGAAAAGACAGCGAGAGGGTGGGTGAGGCTAGTATAAAAGGAGAAAGGCGGAGCCGTGGTTTGTGTCACGTGATCTGCTCGCTGACTGTAGCCTGGTGAGCTCCAGGTGGCAGTGAGACCACAGACACAGTACGTGCAGAGAGGAGGAGGGCGCAAGGCTAAAACCACAAAAAGACAACTGAAATCCCTCATTTCCTCGCTCCTGCCCCACACATTTCTCTCTCCTCTTGTTTGTCTCCCTGTCCTGAAGGAATTCTTCCCAAACCCGCTCGCCCAGGCTCCTCCGTCTCCCCTCCCGGCCTCAGCAGGCCAGGGAATGTCCCGGTGGCGAGATGCCTTATGTGGACCGACAGAACCGCATCTGTGGCTTTCTGGACATTGAGGAGAATGAGAGCAGTGGCAAGTTCCTGCGACGCTATTTTATACTGGACACGCAGCAGGGAAGCTTGGTGTGGTTCATGGACAACCCACAGGTAATAACACARAATTGTTAGCTTAGCTCCTAGCTTTTCTTAGAAAACACAAGAAAAATTGCACAGGCGAATGTTTAACCAGGGAAAAAAATCAAACAACTTCAACCATATACACTGCATATATCATGCTTCAGTTATCTGCCGAGATGATCAGCTCTTATGTGAATGCAGGCAACTTAGAGCTAAGCACTCTCCATTCATTATGAGCACAAAATTAAGTACACTCTAAATGTTTCCATTGCCAGGCAGCCCCACGAGGAAAGGAGAAGTTGTAATTATGTAATTCTAGCTGACAGAATTGGGAAGCGCATATTTTAAGCACAGGAGAGTCTCAAAGAAGCTGTGTGTGTTTTAGCTCTTGGAAGACTGCTGTAAATCATTTAGAATGGGTTTAGTTGTATTTCAAATTTAAACTCTAGCCTTTTGTTTTTCTAATTGTCTAAACGAGTCCATAAATTTGGCAGCAGTGTTTGCACTGACTAAAAGTCTCGCCACAGTCAGCCCGGGGATCTTTTAATGTTGATAATTTTTTAGGTATAAATCTGCTCTTAGTTTTGGCACCATGCTGGTTTTGAGATGCTGTTACATCAAGTGTTTGTAAATAATACATTGCAGGGGGAGACAAACATAAATAATTAAGTCCCCTCTCTTTTTATAGATTAGAAAAAGATAAAAATTTAATTATGTTAAATTGAGATCGCCAAGTTTCAAAAATGCAACCAGCCTTTTTATATGAACTAACATGGAGTTCAGCCAAGTTGTACTGTTCTTTATATTGCTTTGTTGAACCTTTCCTAACCCTTCACATAACATTCTGTTTTCCTCTATCTTTTTATTTTTTATTTTTCATTTTGATCAATTTTCCATAGAACCTGCCTGTTGGTGCAGACAGCGTCGGCTTGCTCAAGCTGGCTCACATCTCTAAGGTAAGCAGAAATGCCACCGCAGTGTTTCCTTAGGCTGCTATCATATGGTTATATAGAAATTAATTATTTATAATTTAGATGGAATAGGAAGATAACAGTGCAGTTATTCCACTTTTAGGTCAGCGATGCCACTAAGCTGAGGCCAAAAGCTGAGTTCTGTTTCGGTAAGTAAGCACTTAATCTAATTTTGCTTTCATTCTTTTCAGTTCAAATTCATTCTATGTATTTCATCTAATGACTGTGTAATGAAACATGATCAGCATGCTCAAAAATGTTGATGAAATCCTAGTATATAAGTAGGCCTGTCGTAATAAGCAATATATCAATTATTTGCACAATAAATTAGAATGAGGTCAATAATTTTCAATTACCTGCTTGTTTTCATCATGTCACCCTCTTTTCTACTTCTTAGTGTAGGGAGGAGTGAACTCTTACATCAGGTATTTGCCAGGTGCATGGTCTGGTAACCTCTGTAGCATGTGAGCCCTGTGAACAGGAATTTATCTAAAGGAGCGTTTTCAGTTTGCCCATGCCTTCTTTCAGCTGGTGGTGCCTCAGGACGTCGTCGGCACAGTGTTGAGAGTTTTTTTTTTACACTACGTAAATTTCGGAAACTTTGCAAGCAGTGTGCAGGTGACCGCTATATTATTTTATGCAGCTAGAGGAAGACACAGAATACATTGCGATTGCTTGGATAGAGGTGGCTAGTGATGTTACAACTTCAGTAACTGCTGCTCTGTGTTGTTTTCACAAACTCCGCTCCTGGTTTGTCCATAACTTTCAGTAAATTTCATGAACTTCCATCAATTTCGTAAGTGGTGTAAGGGTGACCGCAGTTGTTGTATGAAGCTGGAGGAATACGTAGAATTAATATCTCCGGTTTGGATGGAATAGGTGGGAAGCGATTATACATCTTGAGCAGCTCTTGATGTGTGTTGTATTTTCACTCGCTCGTCCAGGTCAGCTTGTAATTTTATTTTATTTTTTTGCCATATGTAATTTCATAAACTTCCATAAGCTTTGTAAGCGAGGTGTGGGGTGTATCATATTAGTTTAATATGGTTTCCAAACAATACTATTGTTTATTGCAGCCTTTTCATATATAAACATACACACACACACACATCCAGATAGATAGATAGACGGACTAAGATTTTCTGCTTTTGTTTTAGTTTTACAGGGTTCCTACAGATCCTTAAAAATCTTAAAAGACATTGAATTCATCATTCCAAAAATAAGGCATTAATTAGCCTTAAAATGTCTTAAATCAATCTTTCAGAAG